AACTACAGGGAACCATGCAAAAAACGCATCTTCGCACGGGCAGCCCGTGCGTTGGCCAATTTTTAATAAATTGCGAAGGAATGTGGGGACTGTGCAGTGCAATAGTCGCAATTTCCTAAATCTAGTTGCTACACCCCACATGACCGACTGTTTTTATGCAAAAATTTTTCTTCAAAGTTGGATCCTTTTCTCCCACTCCCCGTGGCCCAAAAAATCTATAAATCTGAAATGGCATTTGCTTATCTTTTTACTTTTCTACATTTTCCAGAAACAAAACCTTGGCGTCAAAAGCCTTGAAAATTAGTGCATCAACTGTTTTTTTTTTTTTTGAACAGAATATATGCCACGGTTGATGAGTAAATGTATCGTATCGTAGCGCTATGTGTAAATCAAACCTGACGCCATAGCCAACAGATACTCCAAGTTGTTCGCCACGTTCATCCGCTACTCGTTCAGCCAATGTTATTGCGCTAATTCGTCGTGGTTGCGTAACAAATGCAGCAAATTCGGCACCGCGGCCCTTGTTTATATAATCCTCCAGCAGGTACTGGCAAACCTAAAATTTCCTCATTGCCTTTTTTTTCGAAAAATACATTCAAAAAGTAATCAATCAGAGGAATTCCTCTCGCAACCGTACTGAGCTCAAAAAATTTCGCAATCATGTCTTCTAGAAAGCTCTACGCATTTCAAAGTAGTTTCCAAAAAAAAATTGCGAAAAAACTTTTCGACGAATCAATTGAAATTTATTAGTAAAGTTAATAAACAATAAATTTTACAAATTCACAAAGCCAAATCTCCTATTCTTCCCCTGTTTTCGCTTTCCGTGAGGCGGAAACACTCGGAATTAGCCTTAACGGAAACAAGTACTAAAAAAGCAACTAGTCACTGGCAAGACTGTCAATGACTCTCTCTTTTGAAGACACTTTAGATGATGGTGATAAACAATGCTAGATCACCAATTTTGCAGGACTAGCAATTTTTGAAAAAAAAAAATAATTCTTCACCCGTCTTCGACAAGAAAACGATTCTTTTTTCCCTTTTTCGCACGCTAGCTTAATCAGTGTCCTCAGAACTGCTGATCAACTGGAGAGGAAACGTGGTCCCTAGCAAAATTAAAAAAAAAGAAACAGGATAATCGTTGAATATAAAGAAGATTGCGATAGATTACAAAAATCTTTTTGAAAATTTGTCGAGATGGAATCGAAAACGCCTAAGAAAATCGTGGCAAAACTAACTATAGCCATATCTAACAGCGAAAATAACCAAAAATTGGCCATAGGACGAAATGAACGATTACAGAATAATAACCTGCGTGGATTTTCCACAGCCTGTTTCTCCCTTGATGAGTGTCACCGAATTTCG